GATTTTCTACTACTCTCTCTCCGGTTTTCCTCCCTCAGACTGGGAGCGCTGGTCGAAGGACCGGGGTCATGACGATTCAAAGCAGCCACTGAATTCTCTATCCAGAGATATTTCTCGCTGAGGTTGTAGAAGTGAGTGAGGGAAATATTGTCCTCAGATTGCAATTTCTTCCACAAGTCAGTTTGCAGGCGAACTCCTGCTATGATGAGAGTCCAAACTGAATATCTGGGTGTATTAGCCACCTTATTAAGCTCCTTGTGGAATCTATCAATACAAGACTGGAGAGATTCATTTCTCTCTTACCATATGTTGCTGAGATAGCTCAACGGCATTGAAAACTTCCCATTGGCTTGGAAATGTCTCAAGAATAACGAACTCATCTGCTACCACAAGTTAATAGATCTTGGTGAAAGCGATCTAAACCAGCGCTTAGCATGGGTAGTTAGAGTCACTGCTAAGCAGCGACATTTTGCCAAGTTCAAAACTTGGTGAAGCTCCTTGAGGTCGTTAAACTCATATAGGTGATCTTGCATATTAGAATTCCCATTGAATGATCGCATATCGGGCATTCTAAATCTTGATGGGAGAGGAGCAGTCAAAACTGCCAGGAAAAAAAAGGGAGACGCCTCTGCGACCTGCCCTTACTCATTCTGCTGAGCTTTAAGATGATTCAGAGCTTGTTGTAACTCCTCAATCTGAAGAAGCACAGCCACCTGGGGATCACTTTCTGTCATGTGGGTTCGCTTTCTACGATTGTGATTAAGGAGAGACGTAGATCGGACTCTTTCACACCTTGGCTGGAGCCTTTGGCAAACCTTGACACATGTTGGCTGGAGCCATGTGAAGGCACTGAATGGCTTGGAGAGTTATCTCGACCTCTGCGGTGGTCAGAACCAACCCTCGGATGGTGGGTATTTCCCTCGTGGTGATGGTCAGAACCATCATTCTAGCGATAATGGGAATCTTCATGTTGAGCACTCTTGTAGGGGTGCCCTTGCGATGTGGCGTGAGACGGCTCATGATGTGACGTACCGCCAAGTCGCAAAGTTACAAGTATTCTACCTGTTTCATGACCAGTATTCACTGACCCTTTCTAGCCTTTTGGCCCATTGTTAGCCACTTGTTTTCCCTTATTTTTATGCACTGTAGTGCGCGTGGTATGAGCTTTTGCCCGTTTCCACACTTTAGCACGACCTATACACGTTTTTGGAGGTGGCACCGCCTGATCATATTTGGGCGATACAACCTGATCCAGACGATCTAACATTCGGTTAACCATCTGGAGAGTATTGTTGAACCTTTCCAGATAATCCATCACAACCGGATCAAGCTGGGAGGTTGAAGGGGATGCACGCCGCGGTACCTTATGGAACTAGAGGTACTTTGGGAGAAGTAACATCGTGTACTCAGGGGATCTCCTCATTATTAGTGCTAGTATGCTCGGTTTCAAGACTATGAGCCATTTGTTCATAAATAGAACTAGTTGATTAGAAGTTCTGATTCTGAATGAAGAGCGGATATAAAATATGGCCCTCCTTCTAGCGCCAAACTGTTGATGCGTGATTTTGACACCAACGACTTGCACGTGCAAAGTGCTAAGCTGTTCTTAGGAATTACACGTGATATAATTGATTCAAGAGTTAGGACAAGGCTATACAATAATATTGAATGCAAACACAAAATTATAAATGAGAGATATGATTTTTAAAGTGGTTCGGATGCTTGAAGTTATTCCTATGTCCACTATTTGTTTTATATATGAGAGTTTATAAGAGGTTGCGTATAGTGAACAACGAATAAAGGTACAATAACTAATTATTCAGAGAGAATATCAAGTTAGTCTCTTTCTCGTAGGTTATCTTTGCTTTGAAAATAGAGATTACAATCAAAATCCGAATCCCCAAAATCAGAGGGCGAGTCCTCTATTTATAGTAGCTGAATTCAAGGTAATGATTACAAATTTGCAAGTGGGTAGGTGCTGTGCAAGTCCTTCCTTGTAGAATATCTTGTTAAAATTAGAGATCACATCACTCTACCGACAAGGGTTTTTTTGTATCAATCAATCTTCCATTATTTGTAGTTACCACGATTGCGGTTGAAAATATGATCAACTTTTGGGGGAAAAGAATAATATATGTAACCCGAAGGGGTTGACTTAACAGCCAAGGAGGTTTGCTCATTTCCTTGAGTTTCTGGGTTCAAACCTTAGAACCACCTATCATAATAACATTATACCTTACTTGGTCTTTTGGGTTTGTAAGATGTTCAATGGACCCCAGGGATTAGTTGAGGACCTTAAGGTGCACGCAAGTTGGCCTGGATACCCCGGTTACCAAAAAAGATAAAAAAAAAAAATAATAATATGTAGTTTTTTCAATTATATTTGTCACTAGCTGGCTGCAATATGTGTTAACAAGTTGATTAGAGTAAGATGCACTTGAGGTTAATTAAAGTGTCAAAACTGCTTTCAAATAGTTAAAAGTGGGTTTAGATGTGTATATTTTAATTTATAGAATACTTGATTAATTGGTCTTTTTAAAAATATTTTAATTACTTTTTGAAAGAAAATAATATTCTATAATAGATGTAGAAGTGTTGTGCATATATAGCTAGGTTTGCAAGAGAAATTAAGTATATAAAATATAATAGATGTAGAACTAGTCGATCTTTTAATTTTTTAACCACCATTGGGTGGCTAAGCGATCAACTAGAACTCTTGAGTGTAGTATTCAAGAGGTCTTGAGTTCGATCCACTTCGACTGCTAATAGGGGTGGCCACTGAAGGCTTATTTAGTTGTTAACTTTAAGGCTCAAATGATTAGTTGAAGTATGTGCCAACTGGCCCATACATCCCCTGATCATTCAAAAAAAGAAAAAAAAAAGGTATATAAAAGGGAAAGTATAAAATCCAAAACCCAAGTGGGAGGCAATGTTGGTCAGATCCCATCAGCGTTACATTGCTTAAATCTAAGGAGTAGCCACTAAGTTTTCAGTTAATATTAAAGGAAATTAGGAAATAATTAGTTTTTCCTCGTTATCTTAATTAATCATAAGCTTAGACTTCCAATACTAAAGTGTATTATCTTAATCATAAGGTTCAAGTAAAATATATATAATTAATGAAAGCAAAAGCACTTGACAGGCTTTGACAGCGTCTGCGCCTACAATTACTTTAGAAGATAGATGGATGCATGCATTATAGAAAAAAAAGTTAATTAAAGAAACCTAAAAGCTAGTCAAATCCTATTCCTCATTGCTATTCATATTGCGATACAACCCATAGTTTAATCTTTTTTTTATTATTATTATTTTTTTCTTACATTGGAGTGTCCGAACCAGTCTGCACATACTTCAACTAATCCCCGAAGCTATTTAATAGCTTACAAGTCTAATATTCTAAGTAAACCACAAATGTGATAGACGACTCCAAAGTAGTTTGAACAAAAAAAATTCAATAAAATTAGCAAACTTTCTTGACTACCAAGCTAATCCTAGGTTAACCCATAGTTTTATCCTTCAAAGGAAAATCTTTAATATAACTGCGTACACTGTGTTTTGCCTACAACTACCTTCAATACAACCACCCATCAATGACCATTCAATTTTAACTTCGTTATCACCATTAAATTATGTAAATGGCGTTAATATATAATTGATAATTAAAATGGTTCCTCAATATTAATTAACTTGAAGAAGGAAGCAACAGTGATTTGAATGTGGTGGTGGTGGTGGTGGTGGAGGTGGAGGTGGAGGTGGAGGTGGAGGTAATAATCAATGGATGAACTACGATATCCAAAGTCTTTGTCTTTCCAAATGAACTCAAATGCTTTTGACCAAATATTCTTTTATTAACCAACCATTCCACAAACCAAAAAGCAATATGCTTCCTTTATTAATGGATAATAGCTCAACTTTTTAGTCTTGTCCATGGTTTCTCATATTGCCTTACACCTGTTCTGTATATATATTTTTCTGATAGCGACCTAATTACTCATCTAAACTCACACTAATTATTTTGATATCTTTATATATTTATCTCATTTATATCTCTAATATAATTGAAACAAGAGATTACTTTTCAGCATTGCTATTTTTTAAATGTTGATTAGTTGTTAAATAAACGGTTTATTGTTGTGGGATTTGTAATTAGGCATTCGTTGTGGCCGCTTTCGTGGAGTCCTGATCCTGAATGGGGAAAATGGTTGGACCAAAGTGTTGTTATACTATCTTTATCATATCATAAATATCCCAAGCCTCCAACATTTCATGTTATAATTTAACTATTTGAAAGGGATTTCTACTAATTACAAGTATTTAATTAGGGGAAAATGGTTGGACCAAAGTGTTGTTATACTATCTTTATCATATTATAATTGTCCCAAGCGTCCAACATTTCAAGTTATAATTTAACTATTTGAAAGGGATTTCTACTAACTACTAGGATTTAATTAGGTCAAGTGTTTTTTTGTTTTATTTTACAAACATTCCTACAACATATTTTTATTTAAAATATATTTCTAACAATAAATTTCAGTCACTTAAGGTATGCTCCATTGGCAACAAGAGGAGAATTGGAATTAGAGTTTAACGACTTTTTTCCACCTAAATAATAGTTTAATGACACTTTCTCATTCACAGAGTTTTAAAATACTATTTTACTACCTAAATTTATATTGTTTGTTATGATAATTGGTGGCCACCCTTTGCCTTTCCTACAACTTGAACCTAAGACCCTTTAGTCTTTTAACTCCTCAATCCATCCTTCACTCGATTAGGCCACAAGGGGTGGTTATACCCAAATTTATATTTCTGCAGCGAACAGAGAGCATATTCGTTCTAGGCTATTGGGGTTTTTTAAGAAGAGAGGCCGATGAGTCTTTTGGTGGTGAAAGATTAGATTTTGGTGGTTGGGATTGATGGCGGTTGTGCAAACCCTAATTGTTCAATTGCTGGCAATTGGTGGGGTCGGCGAGAGTAGAGTTTGAGGGTTTTGGTGAATGATGGTCGGGGAAGAGAATGGTCGTGGTGTGAGGTTGCAACGATGCCAAAATCGGAAACGGAATATAAATTTGGATAATAAAGTGGTATTTTAAAAGTCTGTGTGTAGAAAAATGTCATTTAACCATTATTTGGGTGAGAAAAAAGTCACTTACTCTTACTTAAAATAACAACATTTTTAAAGGTTATGGCCGTCTTAACGGATTTCTTTAGACTTTGATACTAACTAGACACACTCTAACGCCATTATATATCATTACATTATATTATATTTGTTAAATTTAAGATGAATAATGAATATAAACATGATTTTAATGCTTCTTTATATTATATAAACCTTAAAAAATTACTCAGAATTTTTATTTTGTTAAAATAATAATAATAATAAACCTTAGTGTTTAGAGAAAAAAAAAAAAAAAAAAAAGGAGTGGTTGAGTGGACATCATCAAAACATCCCTTTCCGTGTGCTATTAAACAACCGCGTTTCATGTATTAATAATTTATGCTAGTTTTCTGATTTTAAATGCTTCTTTTATATCTATTGATATTTGATACTTTATACTACATAAAGTTAACTTAGCACTCTTTAAGNTCAATCCGGGATTTAGAAGTGAAAGATGTAGTTGCAGCTCCAACATGTGATGGCACTTCTACTTTACAGTTTATTGATGAAATCCAACCATCACCAGCTTTGAATTCAAAATCCAATGCTGCAAGTCACACATTTGATGGCGATGAATCACCAGCTTTTAACTCAAAATCCGATGTTGCAACTCATACATTTGATGGCGATGGCAATGACTCTCCTACTTTACTGTCTGTTGATGAAATTCCGTTTTCACCAGCCCTCAACTCAAAATCTGATGTTGCAATTCATACATTTGATGGCTCTTCTACTGTACAGTCTACTGATGAAATTCATTTATCATCGGATGAAGTTCAGTTTTCACCAGCCTTCAACTCAAAATCTGATGGTGCAGTTCATACATTTGATGGCTCCTCTATTGTCCAGTCTACAGATGAATTTCAGTTGTCACCTCCCTTCAACCTATCAGATGTTGAATCTACAAGCAAAAAATGTAGCATGGAAAGCTCTACTCCTTTCACAGAGTTATCGCAACTTCTTGAAAGTTTGACCTTACATAGCAGTGGAGACAATATTATATACCCTGAGGAGAGCCAGGGAAATGCGTACGCGTCATCAACAAGAATGGATCATGGAAACAAAGCATCATGGGAAAGGATAGATGAATCAAAAGGTGACTCTGAATCCATCTCTTTAGCAGATTCTAATGATCATTTTGAACACTCGATTTCCCCTTCCAGTATGAAAGAAACTAGAAGTGATCTGCAGCAACCTCATGATCCTCCTTCCATTGGTTTAGCAGATTTTAATGATAATTTTGAACACTCAATTTGCCATTCCAATATAGAAGAAACTAGAAGAGGTCTGCAGCAACCTCATGATGCCCCTAGCAAGGGTCAGAAAGGGAAAGGGCGAAAGCCAAAGGAAACCAAGTCGGGGACAAAAGAGTCTACCCCAAGGAAAAAGAAAAAAGTGGAAGAACCTGAACCAGAAGATTGGGAACTTATGAGGAAAATGTATTCTAGTGGTGAGCCAAGAAGTAGTGATCACATGGACTCTGTGGACTGGGAAGCAGTTCGGTGCGCAGATGTTGGTGATATTGCTGAATCCATCCAAGATCGTGGTCAACAAAACATAATTGCAGGAAGAATCAAGGTATAAACATTACTCTGCGCTGTTGAAAAAAAAAATCTGGAAGTCAAAAGCCAATTTTTTTCTGTGCTTTGTAGATATTAAGAAGTTAATTCACTTCTCAGGACTTCCTTAACAGATTGGTTCAAACTCATAATTGCATTGACCTTGAATGGCTTCGATATGCTCCACCTGATAAAGTGAAGTAAGCTAACTATCTATCTGTAATCTACATATTGATCTACATCTTCAAATTCAAACATTATAAAATGTGAATTTACATCTTTAAATACAAACCTTTAGTTCAAGTTACAGATGTGATTTTCAGGAAATATCTATTGGAAATACCTGGATTGGGGTTAAAGAGTGTAGAATGTGTCCGACTTTTGTCTCTTCAACATATTGCTTTCCCGGTAAGAATTAGATAATTGTGATGCACTATACGACGTATATGGATGCCCTATAATTATTATTTTTATTTTCTTTATTATTTTCTCAATATAGTTTTTTATTATTTTTTCATTTTCAAAATTATAATCAGGTTGATACAAATGTTGGACGAATAGCTGTGCGTCTTGGCTGGGTTCCTATCCAACCATTGCCAGAACAAATGCAAATACATCTTTTAGAACAGTATGTTTCAGAAAACAAATTCATTAATTATTTTTATAGAAAAAGATATTTTCTAGTTATTATAAAAAGATATATTTCTGATTGTGTATTGTATATATAGGTACCCAGTCATGGATAACATTCAAAAATATCTTTGGCCACGGTTATGTCATCTTGATCAAAGAACATTGTAATCCTGAAATTTTCTCTTCAGCTAATTATAATAATTTAAAACATTTATAAGTCTTTTATTTAAATTTTAAATAATTTAATACATTTATAAGTCATTTATAAGTCTCTTCAGCTAATTTGGTAATTCTTAATGCACAGGTATGAACTACACTATCAGTTGATCACTTTTGGAAAGGTATCTATTGTGATCAATTTAGTGTTTTATGTGTTTACTTCTAAAAGTTATTTAATTCTGAAAGTATTTAAACTAAATAATTCAAACAGGTCTTTTGCACAAAGAAAAATCCGCATTGCAGTGCTTGTCCAATGAGAGGGGAATGTAAACACTTTGCAAGTGCATTTGCAAGGTTGGTAAATCTTATCAATTTATTGTACCCTATAAATGCATGTGATATTGACTAAATATTAAAAGTTTCTTGCATGTTATAAATATTAAACTTTTTTATGTGATTGATGCAGTGCAAGGCTTGCTTTACCAGGGCCAGTAGAGAAAGGAATAGTGAAGTCAAAACTCTATAATGTATTTAGTGAAAATCCTCAGATCATTGTCAACCCAATCCCAACCTGCCTCTTACATTCTGATGGTTTAACTTCTGAGAACCAAGTCAATAATTGTGAACCTATCATTGAAGAGCCACCATCACCTGAGCGACATTGTATAGAATCTTTAGAACCTGAATCTAACTTCAATGATTTTTGTATTGGGGATATTGAAGATATTCCTACTATTAGACTGCAAGAGAAGAAATTCCAGGAAAATTTACAAAATTTCATGGAGATGAATAAAATTATGTTTCAAGATTCTAAAGCTTTAGTTGCTCTGACGGCAGAAGCAACTTCCATTCCTGTACAAAAACTAAAGAGTATTAACCGATTGCGGACGGAACACTTAGTGTGAGTGTGTCATATTTGTGCAATATTTGTGTCATATTGCTATGCTTGCCAATTCACTTAGTGTTAACTGATTATTTTTTCAATTGTGTAGTTATGTACTCCCAGATAATCATGAGCTTCTTGAAGGGGTAAGCTCTCTCTTTTAAATATCTCTTCCATTATAAATATCTCTTCAATTATGATATTCTGATTTATGATAGTTTTAATTTTTCTGAGTTATTATCGATAATTACAGTTTGAGAAACGATTAGTTGATGATCCCTGTCCATACCTTCTTGCTATATGGTCACCAGGTATGTGAGTTATAATTGAAGATTTTACATTATTTATATGTCAATTGATTGAATTTTATTTTGTTATTGATAGGTGAAACACCAAATTCAATTGAACCACCTCAAAGTAGATGCAATTTTGAAGGGGATAATCTTTGCGATGACCAAACATGTTATAAGTGTAATAGAACTAGAGAAGAAGATGCTAACATTGTTCGAGGAACAATTTTGGTGAGTAAAAACTATTAATCAGTTATATATTTTTAGTTCTTCTTCTTTTTTTTTTTAATAACAATTAGAATGCATGAACAGATACCTTGTTTGACTGCAAATAGAGGCAGATTTCCACTTAATGGAACTTACTTTCAAGTTAATGAGGTGAGTGTATTAAATATTTCTGTGACTATTGTGAATAATTGTTTGATATTATAGTTTGTTAACTAATTATTTGACATGGTAGTTTGTCAAATATTTTTAGTGAATAATTTTTTGTTGCTGTAGTATAATATTTTTTATCTTTTATAGGTATTTGCAGACCATGAAACCAGTGAGCAGCCAATTAATGTTCCCAGGACGATGATAGCTAATCTAACAAGGCAAACGGCGTATTTTGGATCCACAGCTTCACATATATCAAAAGGTACAGAATAATAATATACTCATTAAGTAATATTAGATTGATTGGTTGGCTAACAAAATTTATGTTTTGTTTCGAAACAGCTTTAGATATTGAGAGAATTCAAAGATGTTTTTGGAGAGGTATGATTCTATATACATTACTTTCGTAAATGTTGTGGTGATAATAGTAAAACATGGATTGTATCTCACTGTGCAATGCAGGATTTATATGTGTGAGAGGATTCGATCGAAGATCTCGTGCTCCTAAACATCTTTTAGAAAGATTTCACTGCTCACCAAGTAAGATTGTTGTTAAAAAAGCCCCAGGAAGGAGATGATGCTCCAACTCCAAGGCTTGTCAAAACATGTCTCCAGGTTTTGTACAGTTAAAAGCATATACATGTAAATAAGCTATATGCGTCCCAGGGAGACTCCATTTGATTTTTTTTAACTTGTAAACTATTCTAACTTTTATTCTCAAAATGTGTTGTTTAAATCTTGGAAATGTAAATCATTCACGATTCATGAACATGAATATGATGATGATTAATGAAGAAGATAGAGATGCATGCAATGAAAAATGATTAAAAGAAATATATTATTTGGGAAATATTTTTCAATTATGACCAAATATACATATATGGAGATAGGATCTTGAGCTTCATGACGAACTAGAGATGGCAATGGGCCAGGCTGGCGCCAGGTATCCCTTGGCTCGAACCCAAGCTCGACCCCATGACAAAGGCCTAATCGGTTCGAGCCCGATACAAGATGACGGGTAAAGCCCAAGCCCGGTCCGACGGGTTTTTTGTGGTCTCAGTTTTGTCGCAAGTCAGCCCATTTTTATAATGTGAATTTTAAAATATTAATAAATTTCATTTTTTTTTATATATATATGTATGATAATTCTATAAAATTAATAGTAAAATTGTCAGGTTGGGCCGGGACTGAAGAGATATCCATGCTCGGCTCGTACCCGAGGGCGGGCCTTAAAATCAGTCTCAGGCCCAAGCCCAAGCTTCCTAACACCGGGTAAAGCCTGACCTTTTCGGGTTGGGCCAGGTACCCGGAAATACCGTGCCCATTGCCATCTCTATGACGAACTGTGAAATTTCTCAAAATCTCATCACTTTATTATACTTTATATGTATTAGTTCTTGAGTTTATTAATTGTAAGATTTTTTTTTACTTTAATTTTTTTGAACTTTCAATTTGAATGTCTAAAATTTTATTTATGAAGTAATGATAGTTGGAGTATATACCATATAACATAGTGAAGAGAATGAAATTTTTAGTATTAAAAAAAAAAAAAAAAAAAAAGAGTAAACGTTTTCCCACCCAAGGTTTGCCTTAATGACATTTTCCCACCCAAACAGTTTCAAAATACCACTTTTTCACCCAAAGTTAATATTTTGTTACTACCCAAAGCTGATTCTGACAACAAAATATCTCTCATTTACCACCATTTGAACCTTCGGGCTCCTCTCTACAAAGACTCTCGCACTCCTGCACCTGATTTATTGCCAATTATCGGCCACCGTAAAGCTAGAGTTTCTTATTCTTAGTGGATTTCAGGCTGGTTCAGGCAACGAATATCCAATCGGTCACTGCCGTTTAATCCACCGGCCTCTACTCTACAAAACCCCTCTTATCCTGGCTCCTGATAACTCGTTGAATGCCGATTAAGAAAGTGAAGTGTATTTTGAGTATTAATGGAATATAAACTTTGGGTAATAATAGTATTTTGAAACTTTTTGGGTGGAAAAAAGTTGTTTACTAAAAAAAAAGAATAAAAGACATTTATGAAATCTAGGAGATGCCATAAGAAAAAATTTAATTTTAAAACTTTAAAGGGAAAGTGTTTGAAGAAAGGGAATTTGTTAGTGCATCAAGAAAGTGGCGATAGAAGCACAATAATATTTATTTGGTCCAAGTGTTTGTAAAATTAACCCAGTCAATTGTTCTATGACTTGGGGAAAGCTTTAACTTATATAGAAGACCTATGGTTTGACATTAGTATACCCGAATATAAAATAAAAAGAAAAAAACGAAAAGAAAATGACAGCAAACTTGATAAACTCATAAATATTTTATCTGTTTGTTCATGACTTTCATTTTATAGTAATAATAGAAAGTAGAACCCCCTGCGGTTAATTTTTTGAAAATAAATAAAAGATGGGTAATTAGATAAATATTTATTAACCCATCATATTATAAATTCCAACGGCTTACTAAGGATACCATGATTAATGTCATTCCAAAGAATTTTTATTTTATTTTAATTAAACCTCAGGGAGTAGTATTTTTATTTAGTGAAAATTGTGTCTAATGATCTAATGTCATGCTAGTAGACCAATGTATTAGAAAACGGTTGATAGAATTTGAGATGGGTCTGACTCACCATCCAATAAAATTTATTAAATAAAAACCAATATGCTTGAATATGCCTCATCGATGTAAAGCTTCATCAACGGTAGCAGATTGTGAAGAAGATAAGTTGGGGGAGAGACGTATGAATTGAAAAAAAAAAAAGATATTTTACCAATTATGTCCCAGATTTTTGTGTCAAAGTCTCTTAAAAAGTATTCAAGTAGTCAAGCAGCGTGACTGCTGACACATTTGAGGAAGCACAGCCTCTCTCCAGTCTCTTAACTTTTTAATATTAAAGGAATCGTTGCGTGCATAACTCTAGCTCGTTTATTGGTGACGCTTTTGTTTGTGCCTGGTGAGGCAGAGGCTCAGGTCAGGCCCCCCCATCCTCGTTGTCACATCCAAACTTAATTGAAACACAGCCTCCAAAATTTGGACAGTTTACATCTCCTTCTACTCCGAATTTTGATTGCCTCACCCTCCCACTGCGCGCATTTCAATTTCATTTTACGTTATGTAGAATTGATTTCCTTTGCATATAGAGATGATAATTTGGTCCATCAACCACTGCTGAACTCAATTTGACCTTAATAAGATAAGACAGTTATGAGTTTTAGTTGGTTTGGGTCATGAGTAGTACAATTTGTAACTATGGGATCAATGCCTATGTGTTTGGGACCAATGTCCAAGGTAGAAATTTTCCAACGATTTACCGACGTGATATTTTGTGTGAGAAAACGTTAGTCATGACACAGAACTTTAATCCATTAATCACATATACTATATATAACTTCAACCCATATTTTTTTTTTTATGATCAAGGTTATCTGGATCAGTTTATACGTATCTCAATTACTCTTCTGTGCCTTAAATTGATGACTGGAAACCCCTCAGTATCACCCATAATAAAACTTGTGGAGACTCAAACTCAAAAACTTATGGAATATTTTTTTGTTCTTACTATCAAGTCATCCAATTAGTTAACTTCAATGCAATATCTTGTATAGTGTGAATCAAACGTTAAAGCTTAATTTGCAACAAAGATATGAAAATGGTGGTAAAGAATAAGCACAAACCAAACGTTTCTGTGTACATTCACATATCACATAGTCAACTTATTTGATAAAGCTAGCTTCTGGTTAATTCCCATGAAAAGCTGTTCATGTAAACGAAGAAAGTGAGATTTACCAACGTAAAGGTGAAAAATGTGACTAAAATTTATATTATGATATAAATAATTAATTTCATATATTATTATTAATATTTATATAAAACCAAAAAAAAAAAAAAAAAAACACTTGGCATGAATAAACTAATTGCTTCTAGGACACCACAACGCAGTTGACTTCGTATTTTTGTTGTGTTCAAAGAAAAAGAATAAATTCTTTCTTTTATGTGTTGATCGGAGAGCAATTTTCTTGTCATTAATTAGAGGTATAGTTTTATAGTTTGAACCTTGTAACGAATTACACAAAAAAAAAAATATTCTCTAATTTTAATTTATTTAAATAAAAACAAAAAGCATAGTAATTAATAAGAAGCTTAAAATATCTCTGTCACCTAAACTTTCCTTAGCTCGGATGCAATGATTACTGATTCCATTCTGTGTTCTAAACCCAACTATTTTAAATTAACATCTCTTTGGACTAATCAACAACACGGTAATCACATTTTTTGTAATTTAATTTAATTACCTAGATTAATGTCTTTTCCTCGAAGACCTCTTTGGTGGTGCTGCTGGTGGTCGTCGTCGTCGTTTGCACGGCTCCAGAAGAAGGACCGAGTCTCTATACCTCGACGGCAACATCTGGCTCCTCCCTCTCTTCGATCTCACGACCGGTGATGTGTCCTCCACATCCACAGTCACTCTTTTGGATGCACTCGTTGTTGATTCGATGTTGTTAAGGTGCTGAGTGAGTTCCTTGTCTGGACTCGGACACTCGCACTCGGTTCTTGAAATCAGCTCTGCAGCCTCAATAAGCAAACCTAAACAATCATTGTTATTGTAACCGCCGTTTTGCGATTCTTTTCCTCGAAACGGCCCCGTTTGGACTCCATCTTCATTGTCTTCTTGTTTGATGATCCTCTTGCTTTCTTGATCAACTTCAGTCGTTGTTGTTTCTGGTAAATTGGTGATGTCTGAGGAAGAGCCGTCGGTAGTTTTCTCACTCTGGATTTGTTTACCCACAAAGCTACAAGCGCTTAAATCTAAAGACTCGGAGTCTCTAGATTCCCAGAAAGGACCCACTAAACACTTGTTCAAATCAATATCAAAACCTCTGGTGTTTGACGATGGAAGTGGGACGGAGGAGATTATATGAAGAATTTTGTTCAAAGAAGCTTGAGCCTTGGAGCATGGATGGGTGACATTACTTGAGCAGTAACGGAACGAAGACATTTTGCGAAAGATGAATTAAAGTGAAGCTATTTTGTTGGGGTTGGGGTTGGGGTTGGGGTTGTAAGTTTTCATGAAAAAATCAGAAAATAAAATAAAAATTGATAATTTTAATAAAAGACGTGGCAAATAAGTTGGAAGAAAATGAATGACGCGGTGAAATGTGATTGGATATAGTAATGGATTGGCACGTAGGAAACTGATGTGACAAAAATGGTCACTCTAGTCTTTTGAAGGCTTGTTCGGTGTGATTTTTATGCTGTCATTGCCTTTTTTATTTTGTAGTATGACACAAATAATTAGGCTTAATTTAAGCCTTTCTGGGCTGATTATTTGACGACAATTGTAAAAAGTAGCCAAAAGTTTGATTCAGAAAGTAGATTAGAATTATGGGTCAAACAAACAGCCTCGTTCGGTGAAGTGAAACAGCTGTGAATATGATATTATATTAACATGCAGAACAGAGCTTGTAACTTTGTACAGTTTGTGTCATGTGGAAAATTTACCATTTACTTCATGGAAGAAAATGAAACTGAAGAGAGAAAATGGGTGTAGTTATGTCTCATTTCAGATTCAGAATGGTAATGAAATCCACTGTTTCTTTATTTCAATGTAAAAGTAAGCACAAGATTTCCATGATGATAAAGCTAATTGCCCCCACAATATGCATGAATTCCTGA